TGATCGGTGTAGGATCGGTGGCGGTAACGGGGCGGGGTGGGGCGGCGGTACGGCGGCGGCGGCGGAGGTGGAGGAGGAGGAGGAGGATAGGGAGGTGGCTCGTTGCGAGGGGAGGGGTGGCGGGGGCGGGATGGGGTAGGACGGCGGGGAGGAGGTGGATTTGTTGAGGGAACGGTAGTCTAGGAAGGGCGAGGGTGGGGCGGGGGAGGTGGCGGCGGTGGTGGAGGTGGGGGCGGCGGCGGAGAGGCGAGTTGGGCGGGTGAGGAGGGCGGGTGGGGAAGGGCGAAGGATAATCGGCCGAGTGGTGGTCCTCGAGGAGTCGTGGTCGCGTCCTTGGAGGCGGCGCTCGAACAAGGGGCGACGGGCTGGTCTCGGCGAGTGTTGGCATCGTGGGGGGCTGGTGAAGTTGGCTGCGGAAGTGTCGCCGTCGGGGACGTTTGAGTGGATTTACCCTGGGTACTTTTTCCCGCATTTTTGGCGAACTCGCGAAGCCGTTCGAGTTCCTGTTTCAATAACTCGTTCTCGGTGTCGCGTCGCTCGTTGCCGGAAACCCGTTCGGAAGTTAAAGCGACGGATACGGATGGCGTGTCCCTGTGCTCGCACGAATCTTCCTGAAACGGGTGAAAGTTGGAGTTTAATTTGTGCGTTGGACGGTTGTTGATTATTGATCGCGGTGATGGGGAACGGTGTTACCGCGAAATCCTTGTTCCGGGCGACGCCATCGATTGTGATCGATCCGATGATACCGTCCGAGACGAGACTGGAATATATTCTGGATGCAAATTGCTCGACTTCGGCCTCCGTGAGTATCGACTTCAATTGGTCCGGGAGGGCCGAGATCAACGTGCCGACGATTCGTCGCTCTGAAAGTATCGATGAAAGTATCTGAATGCTTTCGCTTCGTTTCTCTTCGTCTGTTAATTTTCCTCCATGTAATCTCACCCGATCGTTCGTTTCGAAATCAAGCAAAACTCGAAGAAACGAGACAAACATCGAACCTGTGCAATTCTCACTGAACGAGTACGACTTAATGACAAGTTCGTTTTTGGCTTCGACGCCATCGCAGCCCTCCTCTATCATCGGCTCTTATCCGCACCTGTCCGATCCCTGATGTTTTTTTCCAATTTCAAGATCGAGGCATGATCGATTTACGCTGACGAGATCAATAATGGACTCACTTCCCCTCGTTGCTTTCTACGCTCGTTCACCACAATTTTGCGAACGTCTTACGATAACGTTTGATCGTCTCAGAACTAACCTCTGACAGTAGTGAGATAATAATTGCCAATCGTATAACCAAAATAATTTCTCCTTAACTGAAATGATATGCTCCGTTCTGTTGGAACGACCAGCTACGATCCGAAAGAAAGGCCACTCCGATAGCTTTCAACATCATGAAAAGCTCCAGTTGAATTTTTTAACGATTTCCCGAAGAATTTTATACGAGAAACGAGAGCGTAATCATCGTTGGACGATGAAAACACGAGCGCGACGCGTGGCGAATCACGCCTCCTCGATAAACCTTATCGCGTTCCTTATCGAAATGAGATGCCATATATCATGGATGGATGTATATAGATATTCGGTCTTTGATCTATGTTAAATTCGTAGATCATTCGAGTACAAAAACAGATAAAATATTTGGTGAAATTTTATCTCGTATCTTGAAATTGTGTGGAAAATTAGTTGAATTCGATTCGATTCAAAAAAGTTAATGTTAATATCGACAGATTTATTATGATGCATCCTTTGAAAGACATTCCCATGCATTGCCACGTATCGAATTGTATATATGAATTTTTCAATTGCTACGAATAGTAGACAAATTCGTACATGAATTGCAACAGATTAAATAAAGAAAATAATAAGGTTAATCAAATATTCGAAATCGTCTCTTTGTGGAACAACTACAGACAAGAAGAATAGATAACGAGAAAAGGATAGAGATAGAGAATTACTCGTCAGCACCATCTTTCGAACGTCAAAGATACTTTTTCAAAAAATCATTTTTCTAAAAGCACCCAAGAGTTAGCGCTAATATCCAATTCTTATTCTATCTTATCCCTATCCTTTTGAAAATATATTTTTAATACTCGGAATATAACTTTTGGTACTCATAATTTTTACCCTATCGAGAAACGTTCGATAAGTATTGCAAATTTAAAATTATAACCAATAATAAATATGTCAAAACTAAATATTGCTAGAATTAAGAAAACTGTTGAAAAAATATTGAAAATTGGAGCAAAATGGGAGTCGCAATATGTAAATATGCAGAAGGTAAATATTTTATAGATAAATACATAAAATTTTATAAAAATTGTAGAGAATTTCCAAGAATTTAATGTCATTATACTCTTTGCGAGATATAAAAAAAATTACATACATATAAACAATAAAATTTTTCATCATATATATTTTTTCATATCTTACAAGATATATCTTCATTTTATATTTTTATACTTCTGAATTGTATATATATTTTTCATATTTCTATTAAATTATATTTTCTATTTATATCTTTATATTTTTTCATTTTCTTTTTTCGTTCATCTTCTCTTTCAATTTTTCTTTTATAACTTTCCAACTCTTCTACGACTTTCAATATATTATTTGCATAAATATTGATTTGGATAATAATTATTTTAAAAAAGTATTTTGTTAATATCGTATAATACGTGCTTTTATTTACGAAGTGTTAAATAAGTACAGTCGATAAATTAAATAGTTACTGAAAAAGTTTCGGAGATCAGCGCCATCTCGCGTTTGGATCTCTGAAGCTCCAATTTGTTATTAGCATAACAGAATATACGAGGAGGTATGCGAGATCGCAGACAAGAAAAGCAATATTGTACGAGAGAGCATCTCCCACCATTTCAAAGATACCGCATAGAAAATTCATTAATAATTTATTTTCTATTAAAAATTTCGGTACTTTTAAGCTCGCATCTCGCAGCTAGAACTCCAGCCAAGTTTCTCGTATCAATTTTAATACCGAATTCTCTTCAATTAATTAATTATTAACGATTGACGCGTCATAGGTTTCGATACATCGATGACGCCATATTGAAAATTCATTAATAATTCTTTTTCTACTGAAAATTTCGGTACTTTTAAGCTCGCATCTCGCAGCTAGAACTCCAGCCAAGTTTCTCGTATCAATTTTAATACCGAATTCTCTTCAATTAATTAATTATTAACGATTGACGCGTCATAGGTTTCGATACATCGATGACGCCATATTGAAAATTCATTAATAATTCTTTTTCTACTGAAAATTTCGATATTCTTAAGCTCGCATCCCGCAGCTAGAACTCCAGCCAAGTTTCTCGTATCAATTTTAATACCGAATTCTCTTCAATTAATTAATTATTAACGATTGACGCGTCATAGGTTTCGATACATCGATGACGCCATATTGAAAATTCATTAATAATTCTTTTTCTACTGAAAATTTCGATATTCTTAAGAGAAATTAGGTTGGAATTCTAGCTGCAAGATGAACGTTTAAAAGTGATGAAATTTTCAGTGGAAAAAGTTTTATTAATAAATTTTCAATATGGCGTCATCGATGTATTAGAATCTACGATGGGTTACTCGTTAATAATTAATCAATTAGGAAAAATTTTGCATTAAAATTGATACGAGAAAGTTGGCTGGAGTCCTAGCTGCAATATTCGAGCTTGAAACTATTGAAATTCTTAGTAGAGGATGAATTATTAATGAATTTTCTATTTGGTGTCCTCGAAATGGGAGATACTCTCTGTCCTTCTCGCACAATGTTGCTTTCCTTCTCACTTCGAATACCTCTTTATGTATTCTGCTATACTAATAACAAATCGGAGCTTCGGTGATCCAAACGCGAGATGGCGTTGATCTTCGAAACTTTTTGAAAGCTCTCTCACTTATCGACGAAACGTCAAATTGAACAATTTTAATGAAATTTGAAAAACAAATGCTTTAAATTTATAATTTAAAAATCATTTAAGCAGAAATGTACGAAGAATAAAATTTCGATATTCTTAAGAGAAATTAGGTTGGAATTCTAGCTGCAAGATGAACGTTTAAAAGTGATGAAATTTTCAGTGGAAAAAGTTTTATTAATAAATTTTCAATATGGCGTCATCGATGTATTAGAATCTACGATGGGTTACTCGTTAATAATTAATCAATTAGGAAAAATTTTGCATTAAAATTGATACGAGAAAGTTGGCTGGAGTCCTAGCTGCAATATTCGAGCTTGAAACTATTGAAATTCTTAGTAGAGGATGAATTATTAATGAATTTTCTATTTGGTGTCCTCGAAATGGGAGATACTCTCTGTCCTTCTCGCACAATGTTGCTTTCCTTCTCACTTCGAATACCTCTTTATGTATTCTGCTATACTAATAACAAATCGGAGCTTCGGTGATCCAAACGCGAGATGGCGTTGATCTTCGAAACTTTTTGAAAGCTCTCTCACTTATCGACGAAACGTCAAATTGAACAATTTTAATGAAATTTGAAAAACAAATGCTTTAAATTTATAATTTAAAAATCATTTAAGCAGAAATGTACGAAGAATATGAAGAAAAGAAGAATCATTTGCTTGTACGTGCTATATATGTGTTTTTAATTCGTATATAATGAAATAATGTTATATAAAATAGCAATATAGAGAATAAATTTTTATACGTATAAAATAATATACGTAAGAATGTAAATACGTGTGTGCATATATTCTGTTGAAATTTTTAATCAATATAAGCAGGCAAAGAAGATCATAATAAAATCAGAAACCATTTCATAGGTTTATATAGATTCTGTAAATACAGAGACAAGGAGAATGAATAATAAGAGATGGACAGAGATGAATCTCTGAATGCCATAAATGAAACGTATACATAGAAAGGGCAGAAAACAATGAGGGAAATAAGTATTTATAGAAATATAGCGTCTGCGCTATCTCCTAAATATCGAAGACATCTCTACGAAAGTAGAGAGCGTTCAAAAGATGGCGTTGCAGTCAATTTTTTGCTCTATTTTACTCTGCCTTTAAAGAAATGTATTCAAGAACATAAAGAGATAGAACCAATGATGAATTCTTATCTACTCTTCTTTCATTTCTCTATCATTCTTTATACTTTCCAATTTTTATCCTATCTCTGTCTCTCTGTTATTTGCTATATCCTTCTGTACACTCGCTTTTGACCACAGATAAAGTACGAGGATGTCCTTTGAACGTACTCTCATTATCATTGAAACTATATCGTGTTTCAAACTTTGACGCAGTGGCGCAGATATCTCAAGGGCAAAAATTTTTACGTATAATTGCAATACTTTATACTCATATCTAGAAACATTTTGTTGTTCCATTAACAAAATATTTGCAATCTTAAAATTCAATTTCGATCATTCTCAACGTTGCAATCCTATTCTAATCCAAATTGAAGATATTAAGAATGAAAAACACAGCGAATATTAAATTCTATCCCCCGTGATAGATTTCTTCCCCTTTTCTGATCAATGCTATCTCGATATTTCAAAATATGCAACAATATGTTTGCAAACGTTAGTCGGAATGAAACCTTTGATTCTTCTGGATGACTTACTTCGAAACACCTCGTCTCGCGGCCTCTCATTTCGTATTCTCGTATCGAGGCCACGTTTAAAGAGAGAGAGAACTTGGAAAACGACTTACCGAAAAGCGGGGATATGGAAGAGGGTTCGATCCGTTGATTTTTCGGTGGGATCCCCGTGATAGATGGCGCCTTGGCGGCTTCCTCTTTCGCGGCGTTCGCGGCCAATTCCTCGGGATCGGTGAACACACTGTCGCTCGACGATTCTTGACTCGGCGGCATCGACAGCTCGGCAACGACCATGCACTTGTTGGCCAACCGCCACGAATCCGTGACCAGAAGCGTGGGTTCTTGCTTCTGGGTTTGATCCGTGGGTTTGATCGTCGTCGTTCCCGGTAACGGCGACGCGTCTTTTCCCTCATCCTTCCTCGCCGAATCTATCGATTTTCCAGATTCGTCCTCGTCCCTTTCAACCTTCTCGATCCCGATCAATCTCTCCTCTCGCGTGCAATCTCTCTTTTCCGAGTCTTGTCTGATATCCGGGCTGACCTATTCGAAGCAAAAAGGGGGAGGAAGCGATATTAAAGTTAGATCTCTCTTCTCTTCTTTCTCTTCTCTTTTTTTGAACAACAACTGTACGTCTTTGAACAAAAGATCGTTCGAGATCCCAATCCATTTAAATATTAGGGTTAGGAGAGAGGTCATCGTACGACGTCCGGATTATTGTTATTCGACGAACGGCGAAAATTCGATTCCCATTCGATCTCGAGGCGACGGTTTGTCTCGCGAGGAGGGAAAAGCGGGTAGAAACGCGTGTGTCATCGTGTGCCCAACGTGGCGCCAGCCAGCACTGCGGTTAACTGCGTTCCGTCAACTGTCAAAACACCCTACCCACTCTCGACCAATTTCACGCGTTTCCACCATTTCCAGATGGTCTTCTCTCTCCCTCTCCTCTCGAAAAATAAAGGATCGAAACGAGAAGCAAAAATTCGAAATACCTTCTTCTCGGCAGGCGGTTTCGGTGCTTGCCTCTTGTGGGTCTGTCGTTTCTCCAGAGTCCCGATCCCCGCCTGTTCCGCCTTCCTTCCAACCGTCTCCTCCGCCTCTCCTCCTCCATCCTCGGCCTCCACGCCATCCTCCAGGCCATCCTCCACGGACCCAGGTGCGCTCGCCCCTTTCCCCTTCCTCCCTTTCCTCCTCGCGTCGCTCTGCAAGTTGCCCATCGCCTCGAACGATTCCTCCTCGAGCAGACCTCCTCGATGACGACGGGAGAAGGCGGCGGCGGCGGTGGTCGGGCTGGTGGAAGCGGCGGGTAGAGGAACGGGCGCGGGCCTGGCGAACGCGGCCCTCGCGTAGAACACTCTGAACGTGTTGATACAGAAGCGGGCGATGCCGCGCAGCTTTGGACCCGTCGCCTGCGGCGAGCCGTTCGCGCCTGCGCCCTCCATCCCGCCCCCTCGCCGGTCGATACGCCGCTCGCGCCCAACGTAACGGCTACTCGTGGTGGCCGCCAGTCGCCCGCCTTCTTCTCGCCTGCCCCTGCACCACGCACCTCGCGGAACGACACCTGCCAGGATCGCCCCTCATCGGCACAGAGAATGGCGGGACACGCGTCGCCACTCTCGTCCCTCGTTTCATACCTCGTTTCTCGAGACGCGTATGTGTACGAGGGGAAGAGGAGCCTTTTCTATCGGTACCCCTTTAGACGCGCGCGCGCGATCTACCACCAATCTTGTTTATCGTTGATTCATTTGGAATCGATGAATTGGGAAGAGATAGGATGAGCCGAGCGATGAGGGAAAGTTGTGAACGGATGCTTACTGTGCACTTCGTTTAGATCTTTCTAGTTGGTTGGGAGGCGAGGAACCAGGCTGGTGTCGGGATCGGTGTAAAAGATGGTGTGCGATGAACGGTCTCGTTACTTTTACCGGTTATCGATCGTTTACAGGCCGCTACAGTGGTGAGTGACGACACTTTACCGTTCGTGAACACTCCCGAGTCGATTCGCTGCAGGCACAGCGAAAATAATGAGTTCTCGTAAATGCGACGCAATTCCATCGAACGAGAAATATTTTCTCCTTCTTCTCTTCGTCGAGCGAGCTCTTCCTGTGAATCCGGTGAAAACTTGGTAACCGAAGAACGAGAAGAACGGGAAGAAATATGTTAAACGATAGGAGAGGGACGGAGCCGTTCACCGTTGAAATTCACTCGTTTCTGTCACTTTTTTTCCTCGTTTTTTTTTTCTTTGGAAATTTACGCACGAACGTAAGAAACGAAACGAGCGTAGCGTAACACGATACTAACGACATAAACACGAGGGGGGGGGACTGTTTTGCATCGAGTCGTCGTCGTCGTCGTTGTTCGAAATGCGCAAGCTCGTGCAATCGGGACGAGAGACGCGAGACGGGAAGTGTTCTCGGAGAAGGATTATCGATGTGTACGTTTTCGTTCCCGATAACGATACTAATAATCGGGGTGACTTTCAACAGCCCCGAGTTTTGATTGCTTCGTTTCGATTATTCGTTTGATTATCCGTTCCCGAAGTTAAGTAAGCTCGATCATCGAATCGAGTGGGAGAATCGGGTTTCCGAAAGGAGCAACAACGGGAACGTTGTCGTTTTATCGTTTATTTTATATCGCAACATAAAATTTGTACAAATAATAATTCGTAATAATATCGTAACTATAATGGACGATAATTGATATATATATATATGTGTGTCGATCGATATATATCAATTTCAAATTTGCACGCGACACGCATGCGGCGGACGTGATGCGCGCGCATCTCGACGCTTTGAGCGTCCTCTGTCGACGCGCGTAGAGCACGCGCTGCACGCGTAGAAATCACTCCGACCGACACTCGGTATGGCAGGGACCCTGTTCGACGATGCTTGTATCTTCTCGCGGTAACGCGCTTCCGTTCCGGAAACGGTGAAATATATTTTGTCGGGAGGTCGGTTGGTCGGTCGGTCGGTCGATTGGTTTGTCGTTGAAAACGGTGGAAGAACGGTGATTTCCAATCGCTTCCGGAGACGATGTAGTAGCGGTCCAAGATGTATCGAGAAACGGCCGAGAATCTACTCGGAGACATATTTTTTTATTCCGTCTTGTCGCGTTTTTAAAATGGATAGATAAAATTTGAATATATATATCATCTAGAAAAAGAAACGAATAAAAAAAAAAAAGAAAAAAACGAAAAGGAATTTCTAACAGTAGCGAATAAAGGAGACACCGTCCCGCGGTCGATAAAAAAGTTCGCCCGTTCTCCCCTAGACGATAAAAAAAAAAGAAATCATCTTCGTAACTCGGCGAAGAAATGAGATCACAAGTCGAAAGGAACGAACACGATCCGGCTGGTCCTTTTTTTTTTTTCTCTCTATCCTTCTCTCTTCCTCTCCTTTATCTCTATATATCTCTGCGGCCTCTCCTAATAGCGCGCGTACATTTTGACACGAGTACTAGAACACGAATTGAAACACGATTTTCGTCGCGAACGTCGACGGCGTTCGCAAGAGCGGTACAAAAATAAGAACTTCAACGAAGGTCGCTACATTACGCGATATTTCTAAAAAACGCGCCGCGTTAATACTATGAAATTAAAGGAGCGCACGGATAGATGCGCGAGACAAGAAATATCCTTTCAACGTTAAAAGCGTAGCTATCGTTAGTTCGGTTTGGAACCGCGATAGTGAATCCTCGCGGTTTTCTAACGCGAGACACGGGCGCTCCGCGTCACAAAGGCCTCCGAGTTATATTCTACTTTCTCTTCGCTTAATCGTCTTTCTCCCCTCGTGTGTACACGTGCTCGTATACGAAAACACGTTACGGAACGAAAGGAGAACGAGGCTGTTGGAATTCTTCGTTGAAATCCCTCGGGCCCTGTCCACGACACGACCACGTGTCCCACTTCGGTTAAGTACTGATACGTTTACCGTTATTTACAACAGACGAACGTTCGAAAACGTCGCAGTCAGGCGAAATCGATCGATCGCGTGCACGCGTGCACGTATCGAATCGCCGCCATTGTCGAACGTCAGACTTATTGCTTAAGTTACTAAAAGCGCGTCACGGCGCAATCGAGTTATGGTACATGACATACAGAAAAATGTCCCCCGATCGCGGGGATCGTCGCTCGAGTCGACGGCATCGTCCACGATATAAAAAAGTATAAAATGCGTAAACGCGTCGAAACTCGAACGTGAGCGATCGAATTCCGCGAGAATTCGTCGAGACGCGTTCGAGCCCCGACGTTACACGTAAATACACACGACGAATTACATACGTCGATATTTTCTTCTTCTTTCTCTCTCTTCTTTTCTCTTCCGTTTTTTTTTTTTTTCGTTTCTCAACTTTGCTCCTCGAAATGTTTATGGCCTCTTATGGCATCGCGTCAGCCTTTATGCGAGAATTATCTTCTCCCAAGACTCGATCGTTCATCTTTGTCGCGAATTACTTACACGCTACTTAAATATAATACACAAATCGAACGATATTATCGATCGGCGAAAAAGGAGTTTCATCCTTCTTTTTCTTTTTTTTCCTTCCCCCCCCCTTTTCCTTTTTTTCTCTCCCCTCTGCTCCCTTCTTCCGAAACGATCAGCTGCCCCTTAACTTTCACAATTGTTCCGACAAAATGATCACTCGAAGCGTTTGGATCCCGTCGTTGTCCGCGAATTCGTCGGCCCTGTTCGAGGATTCCCCGTTTTTCAAAGGATTCCTCGTTGACCCGTGCTCGCACCCCTCCGCTTCCGCTCTCTCCTCTTCAGGCGCTCGTTCCTTCGATCCTTTCGCGTCCTCCTCCCTCGCGTTCGTCCCCCCCAACGCGGACACCGCGACCGTGGTCGTGGACGTGGTCACGGTACTCGCGATCGCTCTGTTCGACGGAACGCTTCCTTCGAAATTCGAGTACGCCGTCCCCCCTCGAGCCTCGTACGGGTCGAAATCGCAGCGGGTCTCGGAATATCTCGGCGGCGGGCGACGATCGCTCCTCCCTTGCTGAACGAGCCTCGACAATCGTTCCAAGGTTCGCGCCCTCGCCTCGCAATTTTCTTTCCGCGACTGATGAAACGCGGCGCGGCCGGGAACGTCGTTGCTCGAGGAGGGCTCGACACGGCGAAACTCGCGCTCGAAACTCTTCAACGGCTGTGCACCCACCACGACGACGTTGCCACGCTCGAACGAAATCGACTCGTCGGCGATCGGCGATCTCGTCGTGCCGTCAACCACCGACAAGGGGGTCTCGCGGCAAGCAGGATCGACACGATGATCTCCTCTCTCCTGCTCCGTCCCCGGAACGCTACCTCGTGCGGAACTCCCGTCGTTCCCCGCTTCCGGCACCGGATCCAATTGCCCGACGCACTCGAATCGACGAGGCGACAATATCCCCCCCGTCTCGAATCTGGCCGGCCCGAGGCCGCCCCTCTCCACCAACAATCCGGACTTGTCGATGCGGCGAGCGGTGGGCGGCGAGGCGCCGTCCGGATGATCGCCGTCGTACGGCGATCTTCCTCGGGGATGGGAGGCGCGTCGCGCGGGACGAGCCACGGTGGGGGCGAAGGGGGGGCCGTACGTTTCTCGATAGGAAAAGCGTAGGGGAGTGGCGGGTACAGGGGGATAGGGGGTGGTCGCGGTGGGACTCTCGGCGATGGTTATCGTCATCACGGTGGTCGTAGCCGCGCACGAGGGGGGAGGGGGAGGGGGGAGCGGAGGGGGAGGGGGGAGAGGAGGAGGAGGCGGCGGCTGCGACGATTCCATGGGATTCTCGATCACGATCTCCATCCTGTGGCGGGGGGGAGGGGATGGGACGTCCACCGGTTGATACGAGGGGCCGGTGGGTGCGGCGTGGTGCTATAGCCACGTGGTGCGGGTGGTGGTTCCGGCTCGCGAGCCGGTAGGCAGATCTCAAACGATTATCTCGCGGATGATCCGCCGTCCCCGGCTGTTCGGGGTCGAGTATCCCGATTCCAGGCTCTCGTCGTACGACAGGCTGACCTGCTGCGGTGGCTTCGCGTCCTCGTCGTAGTTCTCCTGATAGGGTAGACCGGACACGTCGTACGGCGAATCTGTCGAACAAACGGATCGTAGAGAGAAGAAAAGGCGTGCAACGTACGTGCAACGGGAGCTGAATGAAGAGGGATAGGTGGCGCGGCGTGGTCTCGCTGGGAAAGAGAAAGCTCTTGGGAATTTTAACGTTCTCGGTCGGGCAAATTCTCCTCCTTTTCTTCTCGCTCTTCTCTACCCCCCCGTTTAAGGGGATATAACGTCTTTTCTTTTCCAAAAAATTGTGATCGTTTTCTTCGTTCGAATTCGGCACACGGCCGTCTCTTTCTCTATATATATATATATATGTATTCGGCACGCGGGTGTATAAACACGCCGTAAGGCAATTCGAGAGAAGAAAAAAAATCGATCGCTCGAGCCGAGGAGAATTTGTAATATCCGGAAGGACATAGAGGAGGAGGAGGAGGAGATCGGTTTATTAAGGCTGTCAGAAAAGCTGTCGAAAACAGGTTGAAACATTTCTCGATTCCAACTTTCCAACGTATATAACTAAATTGCTCGAGAACTTGGGAGACAGAAGAATTGAATGTTCATCACTGGATGGTGGGTCGATCGTTGGGAGGATGGACGAAAGGAGGAGGAGGTGAAAGAATACTGCTCACCGACGTGTTTTTGAGACTTTACGACGGTGGCGAATGGTTCCGAGCAAAACTGCTGTCGACTTAGATTATGGCTCTCCCGGTAATCCTCCCTCTGCGGCAGGTAATGAGGATGGGTCGGGTAATCCGACTCGGTGGTCGCGTATCCGGCCAGGTCGTAGGGTTGGCCGACCCCGTTCGCGGCGGCCGACTTCATCTGCCAGATCGAGTCCTGCGAGTTCACCGAGCCCCCGTTATTCGAGTTCGAGTAGCTGTTGTCCATGTAGCCCATGTTGACGCCTGCCGCAACGAAAAGTGAAACGCCGTTAACAGGTCGGAAGAACTTTAACTTCGAGGGAAGAAAATTGTTAAATCCTTCTCCCTACCGTTGATGTTGTGGTTCGGTTGATGGTAACCGTAGCCGGGCTGCGAGTAAGCGGGCGTCTTGGAGTCCTCCATGGCCAGAGCGTGGTCCAAGCTGTGCTCCAACGCTTTGTTCTCGGCGTAGTAGGGCGGAGGTGCCTGGCTCTGCTGCCCGTTTCCGGCGACCAGACTGGGCCGTACCCTGGCGACCAGACGAACAACGTGATCACGGACTCGAGACGACGCTCGTCGACGAGAAACACTTACGCGTTCGAGTCCATCTCGTAGTCCTTGGCTTTGGTCGCGTGTTTTCGACGACACCGACAAAAGAGCAAGAGAAGGGCGGCGAAGAGGAGGAAGACGGCGCCGCTCACCACCAAAGCGATCAAAGTCGGCGTCGCCAGAGCTCCGGCCTGGGCGATGTACGACGGGCCGACTGAACAAAATCGATTCGAATCAACGTTCGAACGTGACCCGTGCAACAGAAGAATGTACTCACTCTTAGCCTCCCCGTACTCGCCGCACTTTTGCCGATCCGCCTTCAGGCAAGCCTGACCCTGAGCCGGGGCTCGTTCGCGTCCACGGACTCGGGGTCGTCGAGGACGCCTCCCTTTGAGTGGGCGCGCTGCCCAGCACCTCGAGGGGCCACTCGTCGAGGATCCTCCACTGGGAGGACTCGTCCACGGAGGAGGAGGAGGAGGAGGGCGGGCCGTCCAACTTCTCGATCGAGGCGACGAGCGAGAGGCAGGTGGCGCCCACGCCGATGGCCAGCATGCCGCTCTCCGGGTCGTAGCTGACCCTCAACGGTGCCGGGATCTTGGCCACGGCGGTGGTCGCTGTCACCTCGTCCGAGTAATCCGAGTGGTTCTTCGTGTTGTACACCTTCACCTTGAACGTGTAGGTCTGGTGTTGCTCGAGGTTGGTCACGTTGCACGGGTTGGACCTGCGGCAGTCGAGCTCGAGCCATTGGCCGGCTGGCGGCCTGGGCACGGCGCAGTCGGGCGCCACGATCTCGTCCCCGCCCGGCACCCTTCTGTACGAGACGAAGTACTTGGTGATGGGGAGGCCACCGTCGAAGCCCAGCTCCCAGAGGAGGGCGACGTGGGTCGGGCCGACGTCCATCGCCGTGATGTTGATGGGCCTCTCGGGCGCCCCCTTCGGCTGCAGCCTGATGGTCGAGGTGATGCTTCCCTGGGCGTTCGCCGCCCTGCAACTGTAATCCCCGTAATCGAGCTCTCGGATGTTGGTTATCCTGAGGACCGAGGTGTACACGTCGTAGTTGTCGCTCGTGGTCGAGATCTCGTAATGGCCGTCGCTGGACGAGCCTTGGAGGCTGGCGGCGTTCGTCCCGAAACTCCACTGGAACTCGGGCTTGGGCCACGCTTGAACCTTGCACGCCACCTCGGCCGTCTCCCTCAAATTGTACGCCACCTTGCCGTGCTGGTGCAACGCGATAGGCTCGTGCTCCACCTTCAGCATCATCGTCGACTCGACCTTCTTCACCTCGTTCACGAACACGCACGTGTACTTGCCCCGATCGCTCGCCACGATCTCGTCCGTCTGGGGCCTCGCGTGGCCCAAGAAGCTCAGCGTCGAGTTCACCGTGATCACGTTCCCGTGCCCCTCCGACGCGCTCGTCGTCACCTTGTACAACCTCTCGTCCGCGGTCAACTCTTGGTCGTCCTTCAACCACCGCACGCTCGGCCGGGGCTTCCCCTGCGCAACGCACGACACTTGGAACGACGACTCGCCGACCCTGAAATTATTTTTTTTTTTTTTCGTTTCAACTCCACGGATCTCCCTTCCGTAGAAAATTCTTTCCTTTTCTTTCCAGGGGAAATGGATAAGTAATCGGAGAGGTGGATGGGACGCGGTTAATTTTCCCCTCTTTGTCGTTAAAAATATAGGAACGGATTGTAGGAGATCTCGCGCCCTTCCTTTCAGAGAGCGAGTAATATTCCGGTGTATTTTTTAGCGGCAAAGAAACGGTAATTAAGCATTCCGCTTGACCACTCTTTATTATTCTTGTTATATCCCGTATAATTGCGATCCCGTATCGGACGTATTATACCAAGATGAATTTTTTCGCCGCGAGGAGGAAGAGAACGCCCCGATTTCGCCTATCTTCCGTGTACGACCTCCGAGTGTATCCAAAGATGCGTCTCTCAACTTTTCCACTCTCTTTTTTTTTAACCCTTTCGCTACCGCGCCAAAAATGTGCAACCCGAGTTTATTAAAAAAAAAAAATATGCTATCGATGCTATGTTTCCAAATAAAGATACTCCATGTCCAATCACTCCTCATATCGTACAATACGCGGCATCTTACGCAGAGCGACTATAATTGCCCATCAATGATATCTTGTGTAGAGCGACTAGAGTCGTCCATCAATGATATCTTGTGCAGAGCGACTAGAGTCGTCCATCAATAATATCTTGTTCAGAACGACTATAGTCGCCCATCAGTGACATTTTGTGTAAGGCGACTATAGTCGCCCATCAATGATATCTTGTTCAGAGCGACTATAGTCGCCCATCAATGATATCTTGTTCAGAGCGACTAGAGTCGTCCATCAGTGACATCTTGTGTAGAGCGACTATAGTCGCCCATCAGTGACATCTTGTGTAGAGCGACTATAGTCGCCCATCAGTGACATCTTGTGCAGAGCGACTATAGTCGCCCATCAGTGACATCTTGTTCAGAACGACTATAGTCGCCCATCAGTGACATCTTGTTCAGAACGACTATAGTCGCCCATCAGTGACATCTTGTGTAGAGCGACTAGAGTTGTCCATCAATAATATCTTGTGCAGAGCGACTATAGTCGCCCATCAGTGACATCTTGTTCAGAACGACTATAGTCGCCCATCAGTGACATCTTGTATAAGGCGACTATAGTCGCCCATCAATGACATCTTGTTCAGAACGACTATAGTCGCCCATCAGTGACATCTTGTGTAAGGCGACTATAGTCGCCCATCAATGATATCTTGTGTAGAGCGACTAGAGTCGCCCATCAGTGACATCTTGTGTAGAGCGACTATAGTCGCCCATCAGTGACATCTTGTGCAGAGCGACTAGAGTCGTCCATCAATGATATCTTGTTCAGAACGACTATAGTCGCCCATCAGTGACATTTTGTGCAGAGCGACTATAGTCGCCCATCAGTGACATCTTGTGTAGAGCGACTATAGTCGCCCATCAGTGACATCTTGTATAAGGCGACTATAGTCGCCCATCAATGACATCTTGTGCAGAGCGACTATAGTCGCTCGTAGTAGCTCAATGACATCTTATGCAGAGCGACTACAGTCGCCCGTCAATAACATCCTATGCAGCGCGACTAATATATAAACTAATACAGCAATAACAGCGAAAGAGTTAAAACTAGAGGTTAATAGCGAAGGAGATCCAATTCTCAATGGCAAACCTTCCTCGACTTTTCGAAAAAGAACGACTTCTTCTCGAACACACGAAACGGGACGGTGGAAAAGGGAACGAGAAGGATCGAAAGAAAGAAGGGAGGAAACCGGATACTCACTTCCTGGTAACGTGCGGTTGCAACTTGGTGAGTATCTTGGGCGGTTGGTGGACGGTGAGGTTGACGGATGCCGCCTCCCCGTTGCCGATCTCGTTGGTCGCGTGGCACTTGTACGTCCCCTCGCTGCCCAAGTGGACCGAGTCGATCTCGTATTTGGGGCCGACGTTGACCGAGGGCATCGACGTGGTCCCGGACTCGCCCTCCTTCAGTGACATCTTGTATAAGGCGACTATAGTCGCCCATCAATGACATCTTGTGCAGAGCGACTATAGTCGCTCGTAGTAGCTCAATGACATCTTATGCAGAGCGACTACAGTCGCCCGTCAATAACATCCTATGCAGCGCGACTAATATATAAACTAATACAGCAATAACAGCGAAAGAGTTAAAACTAGAGGTTAATAGCGAAGGAGATCCAATTCTCAATGGCAAACCTTCCTCGACTTTTCGAAAAAGAACGACTTCTTCTCGAACACACGAAACGGGACGGTGGAAAAGGGAACGAGAAGGATCGAAAGAAAGAAGGGAGGAAACCGGATACTCACTTCCTGGTAACGTGCGGTTGCAACTTGGTGAGTATCTTGGGCGGTTGGTGGACGGTGAGGTTGACGGATGCCGCCTCCCCGTTGCCGATCTCGTTGGTCGCGTGGCACTTGTACGTCCCCTCGCTGCCCAAGTGGACCGAGTCGATCTCGTATTTGGGGCCGACGTTGACCGAGGGCATCGACGTGGTCCCGGACTCGCCCTCCTTCCACCACTTGTACCTGGGCTCCGGGTAGCCGGCCGGGCTCGCCATGCAGGTGAGAATAACTTTGGATCCCTCGACGGCGACCGGGGAGTCGGGGGTTACCCGGGCCGGGCCGGGTTTGTGCCTGACGCGAACGGTGAGCCGAGCCGTGGCCGAGTAGTTCCTCCTCTCGCCGCCGGACGGATGGATGGTGTTCACTGCGCGGCAAGTGTAATTGCCCGCGTGGTCGGCGGTCACGCGGCTGAGGCGGAGGATCGAGCCGAGTTGTCGAAAATCGGGGCGGCCGTCGCGCAGCCACTCGATCACGGACGGGGGGGGATTGGCCGTCACGTTGCAGTGGACGGTGACCGTGTCCTCGACCTCGGCGATCCTCAGGGGATCGCCCTCTATCGAGACGGTGGGTGGATAGAGCACGTCCAGCAGAAGGGAACTCTCCCCCCTCTTGCCGAGGCCGTTGTCCGCCTGGCAGGTGTACTTGCCCGCGTCCTGGACGGCCACCCTTCGTATCGTGTGCTGGAAGCTGGTCGCCACGAAGCTCCCGTCCCTCCACCACCGCACCATGCCCACCGCCGGTTTCGAGTCGACGCGGCACTCGAGATTAGCGGTCCCGTTCACCTCCACCTTGAGAGGATTCTCGGGGCCGACGCTCACCCGGGGGAAGTAATTCACGTCGAGGGTGACCGTCGCGTTCAACGTCTCGCCCTCGCGCATCGCGCGATTCCTCACCACGCAACGGAACGTCGCCCTGTCGTCCTCCTTCTTCGGCTCGACCGTCAACGTCCTGCCCGAGTGGAGGACGGCAGTCTCGTTGCCGCGGTACCATCTGACCTCGGGCTCGGGGCTGCCGCCGTTCGTGTTGCACTGCAGCTCGAGCTTCTGGCCCTCGGTCGCGGAGGCCGAGGTCGGGGATATGGTGGGCGGCCCCGGCGCCCTCAGCACGGTCAGAGTGATGAACTTTCGGTGCAGGTCGTGCCCCGTTCCGCTCGCCTTCACCCGACACTCGTACTTGCCGTTGTCCCTCTCGTACGAGACGTTTCTTATCTGAAGGTCGTAGCGACCCTCCTCCAGATTCATAAACACCTTGTACTGAGGCGATAACGAGAGATTATCGATCGCCGCGTTGTCGTGATTATCGTTCGTGTGCGTCAACCAGAAGCACGTTACGTTTTCCCTGGGCGGGGAGAAACGGCACTGCAGCTGTACCGTCGACCCCTCGTGCGTGTCCATCTGCGTCTCCTCCACGCGACCCTGTGCCGCTGCTGAAACACGTCGAAACGAAAGGAAACCGTTCGTTAGAAAAGAAAAAAAAAAAAGAAAAGAAAGAAAGAAAGAAAGAAGAAAAAAAACCGAGTCTCTCTTCTCATTACCCCCTATATATACTTTTCATCGAGCTCGTTTTCTTTTCATCGCGCTCCCTGTTTTAAACCAGCTATTCCCGTGCTTCAGAGTTTTCACGATTCGTATTATATCGTATATACGCGTTTAGAGTATACGCCAGGGAATCGTGATTTCAATTGTTATCGGTATACGTATAGATGCAATACGTGTGTGTATATATATATATATATACATATAATGTACATATACGGATGGACGTCGCGACGGAACGACGATCCGTCGGTGTCTCGTCATTGGGTCGCGTAACGGTAAAGCCACCGGTTTGACTTCTCGTTCGTATCGCCGAGACCTCGCTTCTTCATCTTCCTTCGTCTTTCCCCTCGTTCGCGACGTTGAACCCCACTCCCTCGTTCCTTGGTTCGTTCGTTGGTTCGTTCGTTCGTTCGAAGGGATCGTTTTCCCTTCGCTTCTCCAACTACTTCGCCCATACCACCGTCCGTCTATCTTTCTCTCTCTCTCTATCTCCAACCTTCCTCTCACCTTTACGCGCCCCGTGCAACCCATCTTTTCTCTACCTATGCACGAGTCTATATTTACGTCTGCCTGTCTCTCTATAAATCCATCGAGACCGTTCTATCCGTCTTCGTTCGTCTCTAACCCCCATCTTAGCTATTCATCGACCCATCGTAGTTTACGTTTTACCCTCCCTTCCCTCCCCGCGTTTCTCGCCGTGGCTTGTTTACTTTTCGATAGCACCGCTTTCTTGCTCGCGTGCCATCGAGCCGATGCTCGATTTCTTCTATCGGGACACCAACCTATACCGTGCTATGTTTTCCTATCTTTACGAGCGTGCATGGAACGTGGTCGAACGAGCTCCGGTTTCGATGTATATATACATATACATATGTACTTACACACACATACATATATATATATATAGATACATAAAAGTACACAAGTACTTAGTTACTTTCTTACTTACTTACTTACTTACTTACTTACTTAGCTGTATCGTCGAAAAATCGATCGAACGGATCGAAAAGAACGGGTATCGATGTTTCTCGACGGTTACGCTAACGTACCATGTTATATATCGAACGAAGAAGCAGCTGCAAAGCGAGACGCGGCGTTAACGCGTCGCTCGTATACACGGAGACACCTGTGGCAGCCCGACTACGTCACGAAGCCTAATACCGTCGCGGTGTCGTTCGGTATTTCTCGAACGGGAAGCTGTTTAAGCGAGCCACGTTTTGCATACCGAAACAAATTTACGATCCCGTGTCCGCCATCGAGAGCAGCTCGGTCGAATTTGCGTTTAAAGCGGTATCGAATAGGGAGAGAACGTTCGCTCTATACTTCGTTCCATATAATCCAATCCGTTGGTACGAAGTCGAGAGAGAACTGAAATTACACGCGGAGTTTCCATTGGCCGAGGCGAAAGGAGGCCTTCTCGGCCTCGAGCGCGGCTTGGAACGGGTTTGTTAAAAGGACGCGCAACAAAACTTGGCTACGAACTGCGACATACCGACACGGCACGTCGCGAGAGTCGCGACGCCATGCAAGGACTCTGTTTCTTCTCTCCTCTCCCGGTGTGTGAAAACAGTGTGTTTCGTCACGTATCGTGACGACACGCTGTGTAATCTTCTCGGAATTGTTGAAGAGGGGAAAAAAGAAAAGAAAAAAAAAAAAAAAAAAAAGGGAAAAACTAAGCTATTTTCCACGAAAGCAAAATAAATGGGACGATTTCACAGCGAACGCAACGGGAAGTGAAAACGAATCTTTCGATCCCCAGGGAATTTACTCACCGGGATGCAGCAGCAACAGCAGCGAAGTAACGGCGATAATCGTCGTAGTTCTCGACAATCGAATCCTATCCATTCTATCGGCAAAACGAATTCCACGAACAGTTCGAGTGGAACGGAACAACGAGACACGCAAATTGCGCGGCTCCATTCGCGTTGGAGGACAGAGTTCCGCGTTGCACCGACTTTCACCGAGTATCGACGATGACGACGACGCTGCGCGAATTTTGCCAGCACGCGGCATCGATGATCGCATCGATCTCCTCGATCACGCTCGCCAACACACCCAACGACTCACTGCACCTATCATATCCGTATATTCGTTCTATTCGATCACTCGTCTCACTGTCACACCTTCTCTTCTCACTGTATCTCTCTCCCTTCGTCGAAATCGTTGGAACGGAGATGATAAGCTTCATCGGTCGTGATTCCTCCCTGAGGCGACGATCCCCTGTCTTCCTCATCCGATGCACGCGCGGATACGAACAATCACCGGCAAGGTAGATCCACCGAGTGAAAAGAGCAGTAGTATCCCATCGTCGCACGGTAATTTCTCACTCGGGAGAGATTTCTCAAGCGTTCAACGGGGCAACACTATGGATACGCGAAGAACGGAGAGGCTCGCACGCTGATTTCCATCGCGGGCATCCGTCCGCGAAACGAACGGACGAAAAAGGAAGGTTTGCGCGCGATTTCAAAACGCCACGTCGCAACCGTCCGTTCGAAGGCACTCCTTTGTTCGAGGCTTGCACGATACGTCCGATACCTAAATATCTAGGTAAACGTTCTCGCGCACATTGGTGCGAATAATAATCTCCTTCGTTGCGACCGTATTATTTCGCACCTGGAACAACCTCACTTTCCCCCCGACCGTTTTTGCTACAGACGATTGGCCGATGCAAAAATAGCAGCAACGGACACGCGATGAAAGGAGGGAAAGCGGGACAAAAATAAAATGGGAAAAAATGTGTCAAGAAACGGGAGAATGTAAGAGGATGGTCAACAGGTACGGGGGAAAAAAAAACGTGCTCGAACGTTCAAAATATGGGTGGACGGAGTTCGAGAATAAGAACACTTGCGACAGCAACGTAACACGAAGTGGCGTTGAAAAAAAAAAACTCGAACCCACGGAAAACGTTAACGCAAACACACTCGACGAGGGTCGCGCAACGACTGAGCTTGGGGTCGCGTAGCATCGCCGCTACCCCCCACCGGTCGCCTTCTCCCCCCGTACGTCGCATCCCCCACTACGGCTTGGTGCGCGCAGCGCACATACATTACGCATACAAGCATCGGTCGGTCGGTCGGTCGGTCGGTTGTCGGTGCGATGCACGCTCGTCCAAAGTATACCGTGCATACTACGTAGATATACTACGAGAGGTATGGTGTGTCGGGCGGATGGTGTGGTGACGATGATGCTGGCTATGGTGGCGAAGGTGGCAGCGAAGGAAGACGAACGACGACAAGGACGGAGGAAAGTAGCGCGAAAGAAAGAAGGATGGATTGAAAAGGGAAACGTGCGGGGCATATGACGAAGACGAAGAGGGCAAAAGCAGCGCGGTGGGGAGGGGAGGAAGAGGCTGGTGGTGGTTGGAAAAAGGTAGACGACGCGAGAACAGCTTGCCCCCACCGACCTATGCGGCAGGTGGTTCTTACCGCCATGGGCTAGGAGGCCCATGGGACTGCCAAACGTTCGCGCGGCCGTCTGTCGTGTTCGGCTTTTTCATTCGGCCTGCTATCGACCCCCGCGCAATTCTCTCTCCGCCAACGGTCTTCCACAACACGAACAATCGATCGAGAAATAAAAAAAAAAAAAAAAATAAGTCTACCTAGCGACCGAGGAATTATTTAAAAGAGTTTGGAAACGAGAGGAAAACTCGTACGGGGAGATTTTTGGACACCTCGGTGTTGCAGCAGGTGCCCCCTTTTTCACGACGATCGAGTCTCTCACTCTTTCCCTCCGCTTCGATTCACCTTCGCCTCGCTACCTGCCTTCCAAACTTTCGTCCATCTGCTTCTGCACCCAGAATTCTCCATCCTTCTAAGAATAGCTCGCATAAATGGATTCCCATGATTCTAGGCGGAGGAGGATATACCTAAAGGTGCATCGGACATATGGTCCTCGTGAAAATCCCACCCCCGCACGAACCGTGAGAGAGACCGTGGAAGCGAAGGGCGAGAAGGAGTGCGAAATGAAATCGAAGCCGGGTCTCGAGGACGGAGACGAAGGAGGAGGGCGGGCTGGGGGGAGGGAGAGGAGGTCAGAAACGAGTCTCGACCCGGTTGGTAGGTGGACTCGGCCAAGGGGAAACGTTCGTTGCTCGATCGGCCGTTTTAAAAATCGGAGGTTTGCGCGCGAAACGCGTGGAAAATGCGCTTAATTAAACGGTAACGATTCCGCCGGTTCCGCCGCATTAACGAACCTTCCATCCCCGCGATCCGAGGAGGAGAACGGTCAGCGGCCGATAAGCCCGGCAAAATCGTCGAAATAATTGCGGCCGAAGGTAATTGCGCCTCGAATTCGACCGATTTCGCTTCCACCAACCATTGCGCCCCCTCCAACTCTTCACCCACCACGATCGAAAAACGCGTAGGAGCGTGCTCTTACTCGATCTTGCCGCCAGATCAAAAGTAGTTACGCGAAAAAGCGTTGGACAGTGGAGGTACGGCGAAGAGGGCACAACCGGACCTCGCGCAGCCTCCCGTGGCCAGCCACGGCCGGTCACGCGAACCATTAAAGATTCAAAGGCCCGAGCGAGCGAGCAGATGGTCCCCGAACCGAGAATCGTGGAGAGAGATCTTCACGAGAGAGGCGAGAGCAACAGGCCGGACTCGGGCCCAAAAGCGGCGGCAGCAGCGAGAGAGGAGGAGGAGGAGGAGGAGGAGGAGGAGGAGGAGGAGGAGGAGGAATTACACTAGGAAGCGGCAACACCGCTTGCCGTGGCGCGCGGTTACGTGCTACGGTCGTGCCGGTGACCGAGAGCTCCGACCCCTCCGCCACACTCTTCCCACCAACCTTCTCTCGCCGGTGCTTCTTTTCTACGCGCCCGTCCTCCCTCTCCCACGTCCTCTTCTTCTTATTCTTCCTCCCTCTCCGCCTCTCACTCCCCCCCCACCCG